TTGTCGACCTCTGCACAGAGACAGCCCTCTCTCTCTCTCCCCTCCCTCTCCTTCCCTCCCTCTCCTTCCCTCCTTCTCTCCTTAAGCCTCACTCTTCTTTTCCTTTGTTTCACCTCACTTTCACTTAACAAGAAAGTTCTCTTGCATGGCTTATGGTGTCTGACTTTAAAGGACTGGAGATGTGGCTCAGTGGTTAGCCCCTGGGTTCAATCCCAGTATCAAAAAAAAAAAAAAAAAGTCTTGTAATGCACAAATATGTGTTGCTTTTCCCATAGCTTCACTGTGAAATTGTCTCACTCGGTACTTCATAGGATTATTCTCTCCCCCACCATCCCACCATGGATCTAAGCTCCATCATTTGCTGATTAAGATTATGACAAAAATAAAAATAATGATCAAGTGATAAGTCACATCAGTGTTTACTGTATGACAAGCATTTTGCTAGTATACACAGTATGTCATTTAACTCTAAGACCTTCTGATGTTAGTATCCTGATGGCCATAATCAATGATCAGCAATTATTAATGATCACAATGGAGTGTCCCCCAAAAGCTCAAGTGTGAGACAACGCAAGAAAGTTTAAAGGTGAAATGTTGGATTATGAGACCTTAACCTAATCGGTGCATTGCTCCACCTGGATGGAGTAACTGGGTGGTAATAGCACACAGGTAGGGTGTGGCTGGAGGAGTAGGTCTCTGAGGAGGTGCCTTTAGGGCAGTTTATTTGGTCTCCTATGAGTACAGCCCTCTCTGTGCTTCCTTGCTGCAGTGTCCTGAGCTGCCTTCCTCCTCTACACTCTTCCGCCATGATGTTCACCCCAGGCCCAGGGCACCGCAATCAACCATCTATGGAAACTGGGAGCCCCAAATAAACTTTTCCTCCTTTGTGTCATTCTTTTGGGTCTTTTGGTCACAGCAATGGAAAAGCTGACTAAAACCCACCATTTTACAGATGAAGAAACTGAAGTTTCTTAAGTCATTCCAAAGAACAGGCAGATTCTCTGAAGAAAAGATTCTAGACACTTGTTCAGTACGGCAGACATGTTGGTTAATCTACTTATATCAGTGCCCCTTACATACGTATAAGCCAGAGGTTGGACGCACTTTATGTGCAAAGAAGTAACTTTTTTTTTCTTTTTGTGGTGATACTAGAGATGAAATCCAGGGCCTTGTGCATGCTAGGCAAGTGCTTTTCCACCGAGCCTCAAAGAAGTGACCTGTTTAGCTGTTTTCCATGGAAAGGAGCCAACACTTCAAACAAAGGATCACGTCATATTTTTGACAATATGTTGTCAGTTTCCCAATATATGGTTTATTTTAACATCATTTACTGTATATCACTATACAGTATACTCTGTGCCAGTGTCCTCACATAGGACAGCTATTTTGCCCCGTTGATAATTTGAAACAGAGGACATTCCCTCAAAATAAATTGACCTCTTAGTTCTATAAAATACTTTGACAAATGCATTTCTTATATTATATATCATCTAAGTGTGTAATATTTTGCTCAGTTGAACATTTAATAGAAATAACTTTTGCAGCAGTTTATTATGCCATTTTCACAATACATTTAAAAATATTTTCAAATGTTCTAATCATTTACCTATTACTTTTCTAAAAAAAAAAAAAAAAAGTCCCCTGGGGCTGGGGTTATGGTTCAGTTGGTAGAGTGCTTGTCTCGCATGCACATGGCCCTGGGTTCAATCCCCAGCAACACCTCCCCCCACACCCCCACCAAAAAAAGCCCTCTAAGAGCTGGGGATGGGGATGTAGCTCAATGGTAGATTTTTTATCTGGCATGCCTGAGCCCCTGGGCAGGATCATCTGCATGGCAACACAATACCAAAACACACATACACACAATAATTATTTCAATGTTACTGTAAGTGGTATATTTGTTGCTCAGATTAAGTTTTTATTACTTTATCCCACATCTGAAGCAATGGAATGAAAATGGTTAAACTGAGACTGGTATTTCTAATTTAATATTTCCTTTCCCTATAGAAAGATTTATGGTTTGGTTTGGTTTTCTTCTAAGCTGGAAATTCCAATTCTTCTGTGTTTCTTATAGTTTCTGTAGAACGTGTTCCCTATCTTTGGGAAAAAGGAAAGAATAACAGAAATGTGATCTACCAACCTGTACCCTCTACCCCGTCCCTCATCACACACACCTGACAGGTGTTCCAGGAAGGCTCTTTTCAGTCAAAGCCACATTACCACAGTGCAAATCAATATTTGAATAGCACTTATCAGCAGCTTTCTCCGGCACTAGCTCATCTTGTCCTGGGTGATAGAGAGGGAACTGCAACATTGTTTGGTTCATTGTTTTAGTAACCTATTGTAACTGGGCAAAAAGAAATGAAGGATTACACAGCCAGGCAGTGTTGACTCAGACCTATCTGAGGTGTCTTTGCCCTGGACTTTTTCCTCTGTCCAGATGGCCCATCACTGGAATATTCTATGCCTGCTTTTTCCTGTTCCAGCTATCCACCTTGCCTATGAAGTATCAGGCCTCCTGCAAGCAGGGCCAGTGGACACTCACAGATGCCATGTGAGTCACTACCAATCCTGAGGTGCTGAGGGCCACAAAAAAAGTGTTGGGAAGTTTGATTCTGGTCTAAGATCATGAGGCCAAGAACCAAGAACAACCAGCTGCATCTGTCAACATTCAGGGCCAATTTCCTTCCCTGAGAATCTCTTGAGCTCACTTCCAGGATGCACAGAGAATTTCCTCTTGCAACTTGAAGAAAAAGACTCAATTCCTTCCCTTTCCAAGAAAAAGGAAGGGGAAGGTCAGCATCACCTCATGAGCAGGTGGTTCTTTATTTACAGAAATCCCTTAAGGGACTTTGTTTAATAGAAACAAATTTTTACCTCCTCATGGACCTTTTTAAACAGGAGGTAAAAATTGGGCCATTCATTTTCATATTGTCTGCACACAACAAAACTCCTTTTCCTGGAGCAGAAAAAGGCACAGGTTACAGAAGGCTCCAGGGATGGGCAATCTAAATAGATTAAAAAGTCCAGGGTGAGGAAACTTCAGCCTGGTCTCAGTCAACAATGTCTGAATGTTTAATCTTCCCATCACTTCATCTTGCCCAACTTCAGTAGGTCACTAAAAAAATACAGAAGGAGGGTACATGTGTATGTGTTTTTATGTCCTATGAAAGTAAGCCCCTGGTTTATTTGCTGAGTACTATTATTTATTTACTCATTAATTTTTTTTTGTGTGTGTAATGCTGGGAATCTACACTAGGTCCTTCCTCACAATAGGCAAGCACTCTACCACTAAACCACACCCCCCCCCAATCCTGCTGAGTACTATTTAAAATGTGAGAAATTTTTCTCCATTTTGAAAATTTCTTTTAATGACTCTCTATTATCTAAAAATCTGAGGGTTTTTTTTTCTTCCTCTTCGAAAAATATGACTATGGTTATTTCAAGATCCTGCACTGCTTAGCAACACTAGTTTGAAGAGCACAGGCCTCCCACAGCCAGGTCATGTGCTGGACAGACAAGCAGCTCCTCACGGTTCCACCTCGCCCCAGGGAACAAATTAATTTATCCCAGCCATTGACAGCCTGCTCTCTGTGGGCTTTCAGGGAGGAGAGTGGGGAAAACTGACAAAAAAAGAATTCAGCCCTCAGTAGAAAAAAACTCCAAGAGATTGTTAGGATCCTAGAGGAAAGGAGATGTGAGGAAGAATTTGGAGGAAGCAGAGGGCTTGAAAGGAGGGTGAGGAGGGCAAGCATTAGAGAGCTGACCAGGGACAGAATCTTTATGACTGAGAAACTTAAAGATGTTGAATGTTTACCTTAAGATTGATTCCAGTTCTGTGCTGTTATAATCTTCTCGGTATATTCAGAAACCAAAGATAAAATTTATTGTGCATGATAACCTAATGTTAGTGGATCTTTCAGGAAACAAAAACAAAAACAAAAAAGGGAGGGGAGGGGGGCTATTCCAAGCCAGGGGACACAAAGAAGACAAAAAAGTAACAGCAGGACAAGCAGCTTCAACCCAGTCAACCTCCTGGGTTTTGGACAATGGGTAAAATAATATGAATATGTATTTACATTTGAGAACGCATAGGAAAAAGATAAATTAAACCATTGTAGTTGGGTTAAGGCAGAGGGATTATAGGTGATTGTTTTTCTCCATTTTGCAAATTTCTTTTAATGACTCTGTAATTGATTTTGGAGCAATTTTTACAGCTAGCAGGTCATGCAAAAGCTATTCAGTTCACTCTCTCCCATCAGCCTGTCTTGGAACGCAGAAGACAGTCACAACCACTGAAGCCTGTGGTCACTTTTAGACAAGGCAGAGCCTGATTCCTGATTCACACCCTCCTACACACACATACCTCAACGCCACCCCCCAAAGGTGAGGGTGCTAATTATTGTAAGCTGGGAAAGCACCTTGAAGGCAAAAGTGTCTGTGATCACTCTGAACACTCCTTTTAAACTGCTGTAATGGCATATGCCACATAAGCAAAGCACAGAACCTTATAACTAGCTTGTTTGTGAAAAGATGTCCTTTGTCCACAGGCCAAGTTTTTGAAAACACCACCCACTCTATTGGCATACCTCTCCAGGGCCCTGAGAGAAGTTACCAGGGCAGCTTCTTGAAACCAGCCACCCCTGGCTTCACTTTGATCTTTCTCTGTCTACACCCTTGCTTCAGTTCCTCTGCTACACACACACAAAATTACTAAGCAGTATTATTGCTTGGTACGAACTATAATTACTACAACGACTACCAGAAATGGAAAAGACAGGAGAAATGGAATTCTCATATGTTTGAGGGGGACAATCTTTGTTGCAGGAAAAGTCTGTACGCCCCTCCCATTCGTCCTCCTAATTACTGGAAGCAGACAGGCCAAGGGGAGTCCCCTCAACCCAGACAGCTTGACCACTCAGGGACAGGGGCCAGGTTTAGCGCTCCAGGAACCGAGATGTAAAGTCCTCCCGGGCTCCTAGAGCGGACCCGGAAGCGCAGCGCGGTCCCGGAAGGCGAGGTGCTGACATACTTCCGGCCTTTGTGACTCATTGTGTCTGTGTGGAGGCGTCGGGAGGGCCTAGGTCCGTGTGCGGTGCCCTTCGGCCGGCCTGAGCCCCAGAGTCAGCTCCCCTTTCTCGCCCAGCGCCCCCAGGCCGCTCCCGGGGCACACGGTGAGACTTGGGGCCGGCCTCTGGGGAGGGCGGGCGGGCCGCAGGGGGGTGTGCGTGGGGTGGGCGCTCCAGCTGCGGCCCGGGGATCCCCTCCGGCGGCCCCGGCGGAACGCGAAGCGAGTCCCTGCCCCTGCCTCCTCCCCAGGCCTAGCCGAAGGAAGCGCTATCTCCCGGGGAGACGCCCCCGCCCCACCCCCGGCTCCGGGCGAGAAGGGGTCAAGGGTTTCAGTGGCCGGGTCTTTCGGAGACCTGGGGAGAAGCCGTGTGAGGGCCCCTTCCGGGCCCCTAGCCCGCTGTGTCGTCATCCTCACTTGACGTTTCTGAGGACGGGGTCGCTAGCGAACTGACCCTTGTCTGATTTTTTTGCTCTCCGGTTGTCGCCATTTGCTTTGATTCCGGTGAAGGGTTTGGGGGTTGGCTCTCCCCCTCCCTCTGGGTCCTTGAGGACCTTGAGGTGAAAATGCGGAAGGCCGAGAGCTGGACACGTTTCGAGATGCCGCAGACGTTTACAGATCACCTGCTTTTTACCCTTTCCCCTCCGCACCCCCAACACTGAGCTGTGATTAAAGAGTATTTGAAGCCTGGTGAATAACGACCTAGTAGCGAATCATAGACAAACTGCTCTCTTTTAGGCTTATGGAATGCTTGAAAAGCTCTTAAAAATGAGTCGTCAGGTTAGGTGGATTTTTCAGTTCATCCTGCTTGACTTGGAGTGGGTGAGGAGTGAAGAGAATTTGTGGAAATCACACTGAGCCATTAGGAGACTGATTCGCTGAGTGACCTTGGATAAGACAAAACATCATGTCTTAATTTTGTCATCCATAAAATTAGATTTTCTCAAAAGGTCCTTCCAACTTTGAAATTATTTGGTCAATGGAATTGAAAAAATTCAGCTACAGTTTAGCCTGACACTTCCCCCACCTTCCCCTCCCTTTCCTGCAGTGCTTTCAGTACACAAAAAGATACTTTCATTATAGAGAGTGGCTGTTACATGGACTGGAACCAAAGAAAGCATTTATTGTACCGGCCAGTGCTAGGCGGATTGGAGGCGGTCAATAAATACTTGTTGAATTGTGGAGAATTCATCGTAACCACATCAACAAAGCACTGTTAATGTATATTCTGGCCAAGTATAGAGAAATAGCTTTGTTAGGTAGGGAACCACAATGGAGATTTGCCCTAGAATGTTTTTCCCAGGTTTATATCCTTTCTGCATCACTACTCCAAGTTCTTGTTCATTATTTCAGATAGTTTTTCACCAACCTCAAAATGCAAACAGGGAAGCCACCTACTTAATACTGTCATCTCTTGCTGATTCTCTGGTGAATAACCTAATGCTTGACCTAAGCATTTAAAGAGTCTTCCAATATTTTATACTACATCTAACTACAAGTAGGCTAATATTATGTTAAATGTTACATTTTCATTCTGTGGTAGAATCAATTTTTTGGATACCTAGTTGTCTTTTTAGGGTAGCCTTTTCATATTTTAAACCATTTGATATCTCTGTTAAAAAGTGGGGTGGAGGAGCAGATTGTTGAAACTTTATGCCCTGGAAAAGATACTGGGAGATTGAGGAAACAGCCTTTGAAATAAACTGAGCTTATAAATAACCCAAGATGTTTGATAAATTGTTTATTTTTATCCTTGGTGAAAATTGGTTGCTGGAGGTAATCTTATCTAAAGTGAATGGTGTGTGGAATCTTCTTCATTTCAGAGGGACTCCAAATGTAGTTTTCTACTCCTACCCCTCTCACCATTTGACTGATAAGAATACTGAATGTCAGACAAGGTAAATAACTCACTTAGGAGTGGGTAACTTCTGTGTGGGAGACCACATTCACTTTTTTTGGACTGTGCTGCTTTAGGATTTCTCCCATTGCTAGTCTTTTAAGCAGGCTGAAAATTAGAATATACAGTTATAACTCTTAACTTTATTTTTTAAAAATTAAAACGTCTCCAGGGCCCACTAGATGCCAGACACTGTTAAAAGTCCTCTATATATGTTAACTCACTTAATCCTCATGGCTCTATGAGATAAATGTCATTTTTTATTCCCATTGAACAGATAAGGAAACTGATGCATAACAAGGTTAACATGCCTAAGATCAACTAGTAAATGGGGAAAAGCTAACAAAGTCTTCCAAATTCTTCCAAGTACCCTATAGAACAAATTTGAGGGCAAGATTGAATGCACAAGGGGCAAAGGAATAGTAATATTTAAATTTAAATATTTAAGAAAATAAAAGGAACTAATGCTTTGCAAGGAATCTTGCTGAGTGGCATAAGTAGGAAAAAAAAAACATTCTTAACAATAGTCTTGTTGAGGGGGAAATCAAGAAAAATCCTATTACAAAGAAAGAAGCAGCATAAGAAATTATGATCATGACTTAGGGCCTTTAGAGGCTGACGAGAAGTGGTGTGTGCTCAGGTTATCTGGGGAACCTTTGAGAAAAAAACTCACCCTTTCTGCAGCTGTCAGAACTCTTCTCTGACCCAGAGCAGGAGAAGAGAAATATTGAAGGTAGAGAAGAAGACCTGTCCCAGTTGGGAACAGAGGGATTGGGATTGTGCCCATTGTCCTTGTCTCCGTCCTCGTGGTCTCACGACCTCCTCAGAGTCTCTTCTTATTGATTGCCAATGACTCAAGCAGTGTCCTGCTCCATAGCTGAAATAGGATAAAATTTTCACAGTAGAGCTTTCTGATAATTGGTCTAGCTAGCTACCATGCTAATTCCACTACCTGGTTATCCCCACTTGCATCGCCGCTTTGTCCCCTCTTAGGGCCTCAGTCAAACAGTAACTCAGGTGAAAATAGTGGATGATAGATGAGGCCTATTCCTGAGCAGTCACTCTTCATACTCACCTTCATAGGGTTTTGTTTTAGAAAGGATCTATGTACCCAGAAGCCCTTCCTTACCAACATGTAAAAATGGTTTAATAGCTTACACTTAGAGTCAGAGTTAATTTCAAATCCTATCTCTGCCATTTACTTGCTGTGCAACCCTAGGTGAGTTATTTAATGTCAATAAAACCTCAGTTGTATCAAGTGAGGTGATGACAGTGGCCACTGCTTAAGATTGTTGGGTGGTCAAGTAAAGTGCTTAATGTAATGGTATTTGGAAAGCACTCAGTAATGGTGGCTGTTACTAGAAGATTCTTAAGCAGTCATGAGGGGCAAGTGGCATTTCAGCTTGGCTTTGAACAATAAGTAGAATTAGAAAAAGCAGAAATGGGGGCTGGGCATATGGCTCAGTTGGTAGAGCTCTTGCCTTGTATGCACAGGGCCCTGAGTTCAATCCCAGCACCACAAAAAGAAAAAAGGCAGAGAGGACTGGGAGGAAATTCCAGCCTTTGAGTATGATTCAAAGAAACAGTGGCTGCCAGAACACAGGGCATCAGCAAGACCTGCTGATTAGACTCATTTTGCTGGATGGGAAGGGTTTTTGCACACAGACTGCAAGGCTAGAATTGGGATGAATAATCTGAGAATAAGGTAGCAAATGAATTATGGGAGAGTAGGGAGCAAATGAAGACAAGGAATCAAAGAAGAGGCAGGTCGTGAGACTAGATCAAACAGTATAACAGACTTCTCCCTGGTGCTAGGAGAATGGATGCCTAGAATGAGGGAAGGAATCAAAGGTGATCCTGAGTGATTGAGATATTAGCCAAACATCTCTAATATCTACTAATTGCTATTAATATCACTCATTGCCACACTCTAGGTAGTAAGAGGGCAGAAGGGGAACTGGAATAGTTCCTCTTGTCCATCTGTGCAGTTTAATTCTATAATATCTGTATAGAATTAAATCACCAGGTTCTCTAGGTAATAAATACAAAAGAAGACTGGAGTCACTGACCTTGTCGTGGAGGGCTTCATTGGGCGGTGACAGACAGGAACTGCAACTCAAATAATGAGAATATAATTGCCTTAAAACAGAAACTGCTAAGGATGTTCAAAGGAAGAAGGTACCTTATTTAATTTGGGGTATCAGGAAAGATTTGTGCATCTTGAGCAGTGAATAAAAATTCGACCAATAGAGTTGGTACAGTGGGAGAATGTTTACAGCAGAGAAGTGAAGGTGAAAGATGTGGCCCATGCTTGGGAGCATTGATGGACCGCAGAGGCTGAAACACAAGGCGGGTAAACTTGGAAGAGAAAAGTGGATTGTGTTGTGAAAGTGGAAGCTCTTGAACACTGAATTGGTAGCAGTGCTACACAGATCTTGGTATGTATGTTGTGTGTATTGGGACAGTGGAGAATGGGAGGTAGAGAAGCTATATGGAGCCCAGGTCCTAATCTAGGTGAGATAGGGATCCTGAATTAAGGTGGTAGAAAGAAATTCTGGGAGTCACAGCAAGAGAGTCTTTCTGCTGTTCATAATGAATTGAAGAAGAAACTATGGCTTCTGGGAAACATTTTGCCTCCAGCTGGGGAAAAACCAGCCAAAGGAATGATCTTGGGCAACTCCAGTCACTCACTGCCTCTTACAGAAGCATCCTGTCTATTCTCCATGTTCTAGGGGACCTCCTCCTGGAAGTGCCTTTCTTGTATACCTGTCAGTTCTCAGGGCTCCCCTAGCACTTGTATTGAAACCTTGGAACATTCTTGTTTTATTATTTGCATAAAAGAATCATGTTTCTCATCTTTTTATTTCCTTTGGATTTATAGGACACTTTGAAGATTAATTAGGAAGTGAAATAATTACAGCTGAAAGGCCTTTTGAGGGAAAGCTGATCTGGAGTTGGAAAACCAACTATCCCAGCAGGGAGGGTGGGGTGCTACAACAGGTCTGAAGGCATCAGTGGGAAAGGCTAGAAGGCGGTTTGTAATAAGATATTTACCAATTCAAAAATCATTGAAGAAATTCATTAAGGACATAAAGATGAGGTAGAAAAACTAGTCTTGTGATAATTCTCAAGATTGAAATAATAATCTTTGTGATAAAACAGTCATCTCAGCCAGGTGCAGTGGCACACGCCTATAATCCTAGTGGCTTGGAAGGCTGAGGCAGGAGGATCATGAGTTCAAAGCTAGCGTCAGCAATGGTAAGGCACTAAGAAACTCATTGAGACCCTATTTCTAAATAAAATACAAAATAGGGCTAGGGATGTGGCTCTTGGTGGTCTAATGCCCCCTGAGTTCAATCCCCAGTTCCGGGGGGGGAAAAAGGGGTCATCTCCAAACTTTGCTTTCCATACAGCAGTCCCTCCTTATCTTTGGAGAAGATGTACCAAAGATGCCTCAACCATGTATAGTACTAAACCCTATATATGTTGTTATTTAGGTGATGCAGTTTAATTTATGTTGGGTGCAGTGAGATTAACAATAATAACAAATGGAGCAATTAATATGTTGCAATAAAGTTTGTTTTAAACTTAACGAATTGTTTATTTCTGTTAATTTTCCATCTTAAGTTTTCAGACCACAGTTGATTGCAGGTGACTGAAACCACAGAAAACAAAACAGCAGATAAAGGGGACCACTGTACATTCCTATCAGTAGAAACTATAAAAATTACATACATGCACTGTTCTACCGTTGTTTTGTATAATAAAACAAAATGTATGAAATTGTGCTATTAAATTACCCTAAAACAATTTTTGTGTTTTTAATTGTATATGACCCCTTTTCCACCAGAATTGTTAATTATGTTTTAGGCAAGCTGTGTAATTAAAAATGCTTTTCTAAAAGCTAGGGATGTAGCTTCGTGGCAGAGTGCTCCCTAGCATGCTCAAGACTCTGGGTTTAATGCTTTGCTAGTTTAAAACTTTGTTTAATTTACTAGGATACAGCAGTTAGATGGTCTGTTTCTAAAACTTCGATTTGGTGCTTAGTTTTGTTGTTGTTATTGTTTTGTTTTTTTAATGTTGTGTTTTTTAGACCTTTATTTTAGTTATTTATATATGTTGCTGAGGATCCAACCCTATGCTTCATACATACTAGCTAGGCAAGTGCTCTACCACTGAGCTACAGCCCCAGTCCTGGTGCTTAGTTTTAATAGCTATGGAGATGAAAGAGATGCTTCACAAAGGTTTATAGAGGTGGAAGAATCGCACACATTTGTTCAGGTCAGTAACTCATGAACCACCATCCATACTAAATATTTGTTATTGAAATTCAGAGAGTGCATTTTCATTTTCCATGACCTTTACTCAGTAGTCTGCAAATTAATTAAGAAAGTTGGGCTTTATTCATTTTTTCTTTTTTCAGGCCTAGGTCTATAAGATTTTAAACAGGTTAGAAAGTAGTTCCAAGTTTTTAAAGAATGTATATACAAAGGTATTTTCAGTATACTTGGTATCATTTTTGGCACTTAGAATTGCATAATAATGGGAACACTTGTGTATCTATTCCCTTAATTGTTCTTACTGCACTTTTTTTTTTTTTTTTTAAGCCAGCTGCTTTCTCACTCACTGGTGAGTTTTTGTTTAGATTGATTTTAGTTTTTACAGTCTAATCCGACTAACACCTCGCTCTCCATAGAAGCTTCAAGTGTCATTTTTTTGTGTTTGCATCGTGAGTATTTCCTCTTAATTGTAGTCTCTGCAAGAATCTTTAAAGTTGCTGGTCTTTTTTATGAAGGTGAGGTTAAAGGTAGACAGGAGAGGGGCTGGGATTGTGGCTCAGTGGTGGAGTGCTTGTTTCATACATGTAAGGCCCTGTTCAATCCTCAGCACCACATTAAAAAAACAAATAAAGGTGTCTATCTACATCTAAAAAAAAAGAGAGAGGATGATTGATGGTTTCGCATAAAAGTAATAGAAATCACTAGATGATACATTAGCAAGTCCTGGGGCTTCAATTTTGACTTCCTGTTGACTACACTGGGTATTCACCTGCTACCAAAAAAAATTATTTACGGGGCTGGGGATGTGGCTCAAGTGGTAGCGCGCTCGCCTGGCATGCGTGCGGCCCGGGTTCGATCCTCAGCACCACATACAAAGATGTTGTGTCCGCCAAAAACTAAAAAATAAATATTAAAATTCTCTCTCTCAAAAAAAAAAGAATTGTGTGCCCTGCATATGGTGATAAACTATATTGATAAAAAAAAAAAAAAAAAGACTTAACTGTCTTACGACTCGGTTATATCATCTGTCAAATGGTACTAATAATGCTGCTGGGGTTGGTGTGGGGACAAAAGAAGATTGTGCATGTACTGTGCTTAGCCTAGTGCTTGGCACTCTGCTAACTCAGCCCTCTCCAGGGTAAGCACTGTAAATGCAGCATTTCATAACCTGCTGGCCACATGGAGGGAAGTTGCTCTGATTCCAGGCAAATACCCTGGGGGTCACCGTTGCCTGTTTGAGTTTTCTATTTGCAAACCTTTGTCTGGAGTGACAGTGAAGACAGCCTGGCTTTGTGGGGTTGTTGGTAGATTTTTTTCCTTTCCTTTTTTCTTTTTTTTTTTTAACTAGGAATTGAACCCAGGGACACTTTTTACCACTGAGTTACATCCACAGACCTATTTTTTTTTTTTTTTTGAAGCAGAATCTTTTTAAGTTGCTGAGCCTGGCCCTGAACTCAGAATCCTCCTGCCTCAGTCTCCCAAATCCCTGGGATTACAGGCATGTGCCACAGTGTCCAGCCTCAGAGGCATTTTAAATGCCTTCTTGATGTGTAGCCTGGTGTGAAGATTAGTACAGGTCATTTTTATAAAAGTGCTAATAACTTTTTTCAATACTTCAGGAGTAGTACAGAAACAAATATAAAGCATCTTCTAGGACAGAAAAGCCAGCACAGACCCGGTTTTCATCACGCCAGTTCCCTGAGCCTGAATGATGACTGCTGAATCAAGGGAAGCGACAGGTCTGTCCCCGCAGGCTGCACAGGAGAAGGATGGGATTGTCATAGTGAAGGTAGAAGAGGAAGATGAAGATGATCACATGTGGGGGCAGGATTCCAACCTGCAGGAGACACCTCCTCCTGACCCAGAGATATTCCGCCAGCGATTCAGGCGTTTTTGTTACCAGAACACTTTTGGGCCTCGAGAAGCTCTAAGTCGACTAAAAGAACTTTGTCATCAGTGGCTGCGACCAGAAATTAACACCAAGGAGCAGATCCTGGAGCTGCTGGTGCTGGAGCAGTTCCTTTCCATTCTACCTAAGGAGCTTCAAGTCTGGCTGCAGGAGTACCGGCCCGATAGTGGAGAGGAGGCTGTGACCCTTCTGGAAGATTTGGAGCTTGATCTGTCAGGACAGCAGGTAAGGTTGGTGTGAGAAGAACATGGACTTTGGAGCTAGGTGAAAATCACTGATTTAATGCTCATATTAAGAGTCTTTGTGGTGATTATTCTTCCTGCTCTCCTGGGCTCTTACAAAGTATTTGGGGACACCCTCTAGAATACACATGTGTTTAGCATTCATGAGGCTCCAGTTTCAGTCCGTGGCGATCCCCAAAAATATGTGTACTGACCTCCTCTTGCAGTTACTCACATATTTATGGTCTTTGTTTTAACATTTTAAAAATGATTTACCCACAAGTTCAACCTGATTATCTACAGGTCCCAGGTCAAGTGCATGGGCCTGAGATGCTTGCCAGAGGGATGGTGCCTCTGGATCCAGTTCAGGAGTCCTCAAGCTTTGACCTTCATCATGAGGCTTCCCAGTCCCATTTCAAGCATTCATCTCGGAAGCCCCGACTCTTGCAGTCCCGAGGTAAGAAGCAAGGTTTCATGCAGTAAGAAGCAACTGTTCCAACATGGAATTGCCCTACCCACGTTGTCAAGTGCCTGGGTAAAGAAGCATCCTTTTTATTGTTAGGCATAATTGTCATTGTCACTAAATATTAGGAAAGTATAACTCAGATCAGTGTCAGGAGTTAAATGATGGTAAGAGGTAAGTAAACTATGCATAATGAACTGGGTGGACATAACATTATTTATTAATTTGTTAGCTTTCCAGGTGTCTGGCAGATTTCTATTTTTTTTCATGTAGATTTCTAGTCAAATATTGGGAACAGATGATACACTTCCAGCCATGTTTTGAAACACTCTTATGTCTTAAATTATCTTTAAGAGGAACATAAATCTTTTTAAAGACTCATTTTATTTAAAATGTATAAAGATACCATATGGCATGACTCTTTTGTTATTTTTGAAAATTTCAAACAGAGGAAAACATTTTTTTAGTTGTGCAAATGATAAAAAAAATCAGTTGAGGGTCTTATTTTAAAAATCTGTTTCATTTTTTTTTCCTTTGAGGGAAATACATCTTTATCCAAATTTAGAATCAAGCAGGTACGTATGTCAGTAAAATCAATGAAATGCTAAAAGTACATAATTCAAGAAGTTGATCAAGACACATTACTTAACCAATGTGTGTGTTCGTGATGACATCTAGGGTGGAAATATTAGATCATGGAGCTTAAAGGGATGTTCTCTCTCCCATGCATCCTAGAGCACAATCAGCAGACATGCTGGAGAAATCCATACAGACCCATGCACTGATGTTGAAATATACCCTTCTAGGACTTGTGGGGTATCTTTACATTCCATAAGTAGAAGTCATAGAGAGTGACATTAGGAAATTAGAGAAGATATTAGTAGTCAGCCCACTAAATTAGCACTTCAGGTTGCTAGAGAAGCAATTTTAGAGACCCAATGCATAGAGTTGTCACTTAGTAAATTTTTCTTGAAAGACTTGAGACATACATTTATTCTCAGTTTTTCCTTTGTCTGTTCATCTTCCAGTGTTTCCTTACTCTTCGAAGATTTCAACTCAAAATTCTTGATGTTTTTGTGTACTTTGCGTTAGCTCTTGTTATTTTACAATTGGAAATAATTACAGGGTTTAGTAATTCAATTTCAAAATCATTTCTGTAATTAATACCTTTGTGGCTCAGTACCATCATCTGTCTACCAGTAACATTTCAGTAGTACTTGGCAAGGGGAGGAAAGAGGGAGCTTAATATTACTTTTATCATTTAAATTTTTTTCTGATTTTTATACATTGCAGCCATTGTGATCATATGATATGTTGTGGATGTCTTTTATTATGTATGTCATCCCATACCTCATACATTCATAAATGTCTCATCAACATTTGATCCATGTATATATTTTATTTAAAAACTTTATTATAACCAAGTGTGAGAAAAGTAGAGGGACAAACATAGCAAAACTTACCTAGAGGTAAGAAGACTCCTGTCTTACCTTATTTTTCTAGATATTTCTATGTCAGATTTTTAAAGCTGGGTTGCATTTTTTACAAACATAAGCACAAATGGGATTCTAATATCCTGGTACTATTCCTTGAGCTAGAGGAAAGTGTAAGTCAGATTTGAAACATGATTTGAATGTTACCCATTCTGTAACTGAGACTAGAGTCCTCCCTAGGTTTCAGACCTGGTTCCCCCATTCCTGAGTGACATTAGAAAAGTTATTCACCTTCTCCGGGCCTCAGTTCCCCCCTTTTTAAAGTGGAAGGGTTGGACCAGGTGATTTTAAGGCACTTTTATGACTCCTGTGACTTGCTTAAAATTAGAGGTCTCAGGAAAACTCAGGTCCTGCTTTCTTTCATTTATGTTCTCTGGAGCTCTCTACTCAGTAGTTAAACACGGAACAGTGAACTTGCTGGTGCAGAAGTGAGAGCGCCTCAGGCCATCAAGGGAGGCTCTGAGCAGAGCTGATTCACTCACAGCTCCTTTCTCCTCCCTCAGCTCTCCCTGTCACTCACGTTCCTGCCCCTCATCAGGAGGGGAGTCCCAGAGACCAGGCGATGGCATCTGCACTATTGACAGCAGATTCCCAGGTGAGCTATGGGCCCCTCTGCCCTACGGAGTCCCCGTAACTGCCTTCTCCTCCTGGAGCTCCTCTTACAGTCTCCGCCAGGCAGTAATTCTTGATGCCCTACCGCAGAGAAGCCCCACTGTCCCTCTTTGTTAGTTCTTGCTGCTGCAAACCCCCTCAAGCCCACAAAGCTCTGGTCACATGTTCTTCACCAGTGTCCTGTAGAGATGCCATCAACTCTGTCCCTGACTCTAGGTGTGGGCAATGGGACTGTCCCTGAGATTTGGGAGAACTGAGTGTGGGGAATCTCCTGTTATTTCAGGCAATGGTGAAGATCGAGGACATGGCCGTGTCCCTCATCCTGGAGGAATGGGGATGTCAGAACCTGGCTCGGAGGAATCTCAATAGGGACAGCAGGCAGGAGAATTATGGGAACGTGTTTTCCCAGGGTAAGACTGATGCAGGATTGTTATCTGATAAGATTGTTTTGCTTCTCTGTTAGTTGTGGGAACTCTCTGATATATTCAGTTGAGTGTTGATAAGGATTTTTAAGGCTACTGACTATCTTTCTTCAGAACAGGCAGGGAGAACCTTTGTGCTTAGTGAACTCCAAAAGCATAGTACTGTGACTCCCTGATTCCTAGTGTATTTTTTGCTCTTTGAAATCAGAAATCAACTCTTGTGCTCTGAGCCTCATCTCTTCAACCACTCATTTACTAGAGAGAATTTCGATTCCCTTCCCCAAGGGCCACACTTTAGGTTCCTCTGTCAAGGGAATATCTTTTTCCTGGTAGAGATGGCCAAGTAACTGATTATCAGTCTAATCCCAGCCCCTTGTCCTGGCACGCTGTACCTGAACCTACCAGGCACCCTTCTATGGGCTTCTGTCTTCTTCCATTCTGTGAGAGCATTGCTTGGAGACAACTTTACATTATCCCACTAACTTGCACCTGAAGCTCTCTCAGGATCAGGTTCCCAGTTTTCCAAAATAAATTGTGGTCTTCCACAAAGCGCTCTTGAGTAATAGTGTGTAGTGAATAAAGAAGTGCAACGGGCATCAGCCAGATAAGACAAGGTGATCCAACTGCCAGTCATTCATGTGGTCTCTGCTAGATCTTAACCCCTAGGAGTTAGTGCCACCAAGGAACCCTTAGATATGTACAGTAATAGGGAAGTTCACAGCAAGACTTTATCTTGGGAGGACAGGAATATTGAGTAAAGGGTGAACATAGAGTATCACTAAAAAAAACTCAGGTTTTATTTAAAACCATAGTTATAGCTGGGCTTTGTAGTTTCTAGGTACTTGCTCTTTGTTCTAGATGGAAATTAAGCCAAAGACTTGATCTGCTTTATTAACTGTTACTTGCTCTGATAACTTGAAAAAAAAAATTTTAGGAACATTCTGGGAACTGGCCAGACAGTGAACGATGTTGATTTGGAAGTCAAAATGTATACCAATTTCCTCTTTGTTGTAATTAGTTCTGTATTTATGGTAGTTTCATCACTAAAGTCGGAAGCTGAATATTATTTAGCTCCCCCATCATTGCATTCAGGGGCCTGTTGTGATACATAGACTCTTAAAGCCAAATAAATAAAGAATAGAGATATTTGGGTTTTCTCAGACAAATGTAAATATAAAATTGTGTACGTCTGTTATATAATTTGCAGTCTTCACTTTTTAAAAGTAACATGACTGGGCTGGGGTTGTAGAGTACTTTTCCTAGCATATGTGAGGCACTGATTTTGATCCTCAGCACCACATAAAAATAAATGAAGAAAACAAAGGATCTGTAGCTTAAAAATATATTTAGAACAAACTAAAAGCAACATGACACAAACAGTATAGCAACGTACAATAAAAATTAAACTTTAGTGTTTTAATACACTTAATTACTAAAATGAAGGGGTTAGCTCTACATTTGAAAATTGTTGTATCTTTATGGGCTGTGCAGAATCATTTTCAGTTTCTTTTCAATTATTCTCAGTTGTCAGTTGGTAAAGGTTTTTAATTCTGTTACTAGCAAGTGCCCCCACCACTCTTCACTCCATCTCCATCACTTGAGCACAGCTAGTTCTGTGCTGCTCCCCCTGGTGGAAGGAGACTATTCACTGTGTGTGAAGAGCCCCGCGACCTGCCAGCTTCTGACTTGTGCCTGTTAACCACCACCTTGTTAAGAAAATGCCAACAGAACTGGAGGAGTATTTGCTTTTCCTTCTTTCACTATATTCCTTTCTGCTAATATTTTCTAGAAAGACCTCTATATTCTCATTTTTTAAAAACTTACAAATATTTGCTGTAAATGGAACATGAGTTTTTCAATATGTATTCCTTCAAATTAATTATCGGGTAATCAAATAGTAGAATAATGACCTCCAAATTCCTTTAATTCCTTACCTCACCCTTAACTGGTTTCTCTTCCCTCTGCCCCTTCCCCACTGTGCCTGTTTATTTCATATTCTCTTTGCATGTACCCCTTTATTTTCTCTTTTTTCCACTCTGCTTGCCCTCTCATTTTCCAATTCTACTCCACATTGTCCCAATTTTTTCCTTATTTTTTTTTCTTTTTATCCTTGATTAATACTGTGAAGTCATTTTGCAGGCATAGAAGCTTCTTGGAAAATAATGTCACTTGATTAATCTTTGTCGTCAAAAGAAAAAGGTGCTATTTGTATTTTCTATTTATTGTGCCAGGTTGTGAAACCAGAAATGAGAATGAGGAGTCGACCTCAAAAGCTGAAGTCACAGAAGACTCAGCATCACATGGGGAGAAAGCAGGAAGATTTCAGAAAGAGTTTGGAGAGAAACGCGAACATCAGGGCAGAGTAGTAGAAAGGCAGCAGAGAAACCCTGAGGAGAAAACTGGAAAAGAGAAGAGAGAGTCAGGTCCAACTACAGCCAGGGATAAAAAACCTACCACAGGGGAGAGAGGTCCGAGGGAGAAGGGAAAAGGGTTGGGAAGAAGCTTCAGTCTGAGTTCAAACTTTAATACCCCTGAAGAGGTTCCAACAGGAGCAAAGTCTCACAGATGTGATGAATGTGGTAAATGCTTCACAAGAAGTTCAAGCCTTATCCGCCATAAAATCATCCACACTGGAGAGAAGCCCTATGAATGTAGTGAGTGTGGGAAAGCCTTCAGTCTCAACTCAAACCTTGTCCTGCATCAGCGAATCCACACAGGAGAGAAGCCTCATGAATGTAACGAGTGCGGCAAGGCCTTCAGTCACAGCTCGAATCTCATTCTGCACCAGCGCATCCACTCTGGAGAGAAGCCCTATGAATGTAACGAGTGTGGGAAGGCCTTCAGCCAGAGCTCAGACCTCACCAAGCACCAGAGGATCCACACAGGGGAGAAACCCTATGAATGTAGTGAGTGTGGGAAAGCTTTCAACCGAAACTCGTACCTTATTTTGCATCGGAGAATCCACACCCGAGAAAAGCCCTACAAGTGTACCAAGTGTGGCAAGGCCTTCACCCGGAGCTCAACCCTCACTCTGCATCACAGAATCCATGCCAGAGAGCGAGCCTTGGAATATAGCCCAGCCTCCCTGGATGCATTTGGAGCATTTCTCAAAAGTTGTGTGTAAAGCAAGAATTTGTCATCAAGCCATTTCCCCTTTTGTTTCTAAAATTATTTCAGAAATGCGTGCCCATTGAGGGGGGAAAAAAGCAGCCTCAACAGATTTAAAAAAAAAAAAAAAAAAATCATGATTAAGGATCCTTAGAGTTACATCAGCAGTGTTCTGCCTTTGTGTTGTCTGTGGGCAGGTAATTCTTCCACACAGCCCCTGCAGGTAAAACTGGTCAGATGGGTAATCCATACAATATTTCCACATAAGATAAAAGCACACACGCAGGAAAACATCAAGCTTTTCAGTATTGAGGATACCTTTAAGGAGCTCTTTGAACCTCAGCAACCACAGCATAAATTGAAAGAACAAGATTGGCTCTGTGAACATGCTTCTGAAGTTAGGAAGCCACTTGCTGCAAACAAGCTCTACCTGGCCAATATCTTGCTTATTTCTCAAAAAAGAGAGTTAAAACAAAAACTACATGGGGACATGCTGCTGCTCAAGCTAGTTATATATCCCATAAGTTATATAGCTGATCACTGGTAGCCTACCAAAGCTATAGAAATCTAGGACTGTGCTGATCAGTATCAAACCAAAGATTTCTATCTCTTCCTGAAAGAGAGGGTATGTGCACCAGTCTACAGTTCCAAAGGACTGCAACAAATGTAGATGGTTCTATCCTCATCACTGAGATCAGTTCTCCTGAAACAGCAACAACAATTCAAAACACTTCTCTCCCTTCTTGAAGTCTCTAAAGCACTCTAGCACTCCTAAATGCATTTCTCCACAAGTTAGCACTTGATCATATACTGACTTTTAATCCTTCATTGTTTCATATATGGAAGTTTTTATTCATCCCCCAAAAGAGATGCTTCAGTTGTCAAGGGATATAGTTATGTTCCTGACAGCCCGGCACTGTACCTAGTGCTGAACCCATAAAGAGGCACTCCCTATATCCTATATCTGACTTCTAACAGGACTTTCATATTTATGATAAAGCCCTGTGAATCATAAGTACCTGAAATATGGTAGCCTGGCCCAACTTTGAAAGAGGACCTTCACAGCCACACGGCATGCTAAGACCTCTAGGGCCAATGCTATTTTTGTCCTAAACATAAACGAAGGCGCTGATTAGCTGCCTGCATAGACTTTCTAAACGTGGATTGGTGAATAAATACTACAGAATGTCAGAAATTACTATATTGATACCATCTTAAGGAAAATGTGAACACTGACTAAGGTCATTTTTTGACATCTTTCCATGGCAAAGATCTTAGCCAGAATTCTCTTCAGTCAGCTGCTGAACAATATGATGATTTGGGCACTTTGTAACTTAAGATATTATAGTTCAGAAGATGTGTTTTGTTGCTTTTCAGAAAAAGAAAAGGGAGCATTTTTTTCCACACTTTTCCAGAAACTTTCAAAAAGAACTTACCTTCATTAGCAGGCAATTATGAAAGGTAGTTCGTTGCTCTGAGCAGTTCACTGATAGTATATCAGAAATGGTTGATTGTGTCATAGTCATAGTACACGGTATCTTTTTTTGTTACTCATCACTAAAAACTGAAGTGAGGTTATGGAACTATTATCTCCATCTGTGCAGCTCAAGTCAGGTGGCTCTCTAGAAGCTGCTGATGGAGACTGTTTCACATACACAAGGGACCCAAGTATCATGGACTGTGACGGTATCAAGGGTTTGGTTAGAGAGGGCTCTGTTCATGAGATGAGAGCTTTCAGATGGCCATGGATAGCCCTGCAGAAAGCTAGAAACCGGCTAAAAACAAACCTGAAGACCATCAGCGTGAACACCCTGTAACAGGAAAACCCCACTTCAATTTGAGATGTTCCCTCAAGAAACAATAAAACTAGCATTTATCAGTCATTTGCTGACCAGCAGCAAAAATCCACGAGATAGCATGATGGAGCCAATGAGATGGAGGCGTGTATGGGCTCAGCTCCAGACCACACTAGAATTCTGCACAGCATTCATTCTTGTTCTCTCTTTGGCTTTCTTATTTGGACTAACTGCAGCTTCTCTGTAGCTTCTAAGCAGTTTCTTCAGTGTTGACTGGGGAGACCACGTAAAATAAGTCAGCCAGTTACCAGAATATTTCTATCCATCCAACTAAAAAAAAATGATATATTCTAGAAGAGTATATCTAATTCACTTTCTGTAAAGAAATGAAAGTAGAAATTCATCAAGAATTTTCTTCAAAGAATGAGCCACAGTGGTGGTTGCCTAGAAAATTGCTGGTGCTTTTGAGAGGACTTTTGTCCCCTGAAAGCAACAAAATGAAGTGCACAATTCCAGACATCCATTCCAAACTCTCTGCCTTTGTTCTTAAGAGGGAAAGGACTTTGGTCAGTTTCACATTGGCTTCGCCCCCACTTCCCCCACTACATGCTGACAAAATTCAGCTGTCATTTTGGGATTTTGTTTATAAGTGAAATTTAAATATGACCTGTGCCCCTTCATTTGGCTCCCATTTTATTGGGATGTTCTGCTGGCTGTTGGATAGCTACTGGGGTTGCTTCAGATCTTTGGCAGATGCAGTCTTAGAGGCAGCAATTTGAATGTTTGTTTCCCGAGAACAGGCTACAACTAGTTATTAAAACCATTTGCATTGCATTCATTTATCAGATGCTCAGTGCAGAGGTGTCATTGGGCCATGGTCAAAAACTCTGGCAACATCTAATTAGTGCTCAGGATAGACATTCAAAAGTTCTTGACTGGGTGAAGTCTGTTAACAGTTGGTACACTATAGCTGACCATCAGCATGCTAGTTGACCTAATGGAACTTTTTTGAAGTTTTTAAAGATATACCTTAACCTTGCCAGGAAAAGAAGTAAAATTGTTCAGGTTGTGGGTATTTGTTTCTACTCCAGCCTGACAAGCAAGGCCAAACTTGAGAATATAGATATGTGAGACCTTTTGGTATTTAAGGCACTTAATTAAGTCATAAAGGTGAAACTACTAAATGTGTGGAGAGAGTGACATGTTTGATATGTAGAACGATTCACATATATGTCAGAGAATTTATTCCAGAGAGGAACCTCTTGAATGTGATAAGTATGGCAAAGCCTTTAATCACAGCTCAGCCCTTAGCTCAGAAAGCTTACACTGTAAATAAACTTAATAACATTATATGTGAGGAAAATGTTCATGTATAGCACTCATTGCTTTGGACAGAAAATGAATTCCCTCGGTATGTTCTAGTCATGCAATAAATTACAAAACACGGCAGAAGGAGCTCGGTCTTAAACTCCACAGGATCCACAGAAGAAAACAATGTGGGGAAATGCTAAAGAAATAGCAAAATGTACAACTTTAAAAATTGTTAATGTTGGGTACTTCTCTACATTTTGTATGGCCATAATGTCACTGTGTTTTGTACCTGGGCCCCTATTATTTTGTACATTTCCTTGTAAACAGATAATGTATTTTAATTTGACAGAGCACATCACTTCAAAAGAGAGGTTTTGGAGTGAATAGTGAAGAGATTGATGTGGTAATGGACAAAAAGTCAGTTCACAGAACTGAGAAGTGGGAGGATGAAGGGGAAAAGACCTTCATTGTTTGGTGCTTATTGAATCGAGAGAAGAAATCAGTAAATTCATGAGGAGAGACAGGCTAATAGGGCACTAAAATGAAACGACTCCTCTAAACATCTGCAACTCCTCAAAAGAGTTTTCAAAACTGGGAAGTTGACCTCTGAGCTGCTAGGTCACTACTGCAAGCAGAGGGAGTAGATGGATTTGAGCTTGTTGGGGAGGAATTGAATCAATGAGTTGAGAGTAAGACATACTGCAGTGGCCATTGGGACTGATAATCTGACCAGATTCTGTAAAACCACAATCTTGCCTCCCCGCTAACTTTTAAATCTTTATGCTTAGAAAATTGGGGATGTGAAAACACCAAGATGGGCAGTTTCCTGGGAAATAAGTTGGCACTGCAGGAGAGTTGTCTGATGAGTCTCAAGAAGCATTTTGCAAGATTCCTTTGGGCTGTGCTCCTGTGTACCTTCCTTGTCCCCACGCTTCCCTGGTTTGACTGTTAGGATAGAGGGTTTGTGAAGATTCATAGTTGTAAACATTGTTCTGTTTTGTTTTTTGATCTAGAGTTAGTCACCTTCCAGGTAGGCATGCTGGTCCATTTATCCAAAGCCAATTAAACCAGTCCATCCTGACATCCTCATGGAATACTGTGTGAATTGGAGTAAAAGTATTGAAATACAGCCCAACAGTGACAGCAGTACTTGCCCCAGGAGCCCTATTTTTGTGCATCGCACTCTGAGTAACTTCTCAGAAATATTTGAGGGTGCTGGGGTTTCCCATTGAGGAAACTAAATCACTGCAGATTAAGTGAAACAGAATCAGAAAAGCAAATTAGTTAGTATAAATAAGTTCTATCATAGAAATTAGTGTAGATGTTCATTTCAACTACTTCTGGAGAATTTAATATGAAGCATTATTGTTTGAAAAGTTTTCCTAACGTAGATTTGGTTTTCATTTTTAAAATAGACACTCTACCTTTAAAAACTGTTACTTATTTTGCTATTCAGATTAATTTTTTATTATATCCAAAAATGAATTTATTTGTTTTGCTTTTCAAAGCTTTGTAAAACAAACTTGAAATTAAAGGGAGGTAAGCCATCTCCTGTTCTGCAGGTCCAACAAAAGTTTGGGAAATACTTTGGCATCCCATAATATAAGATGTATTAACATGAGAACTTGGCTTCATACTATCTGGTTCTCTTTACTAGAGGACACCACCAACCCCCTGCTTTTCTCTGTTATCCTAAATAGTAGAAGAAAGTAGTCATTAGGTAATCTCTAAACCATGGTTTGCTGTGATTTTAATAGTTTTTAATCGTGGAGATGCTCACACCTCCATTTACTAAAAGAATCATGATTCACTTCAGCTTACATAGTAATTGGCAAAGTTAATTGGTTTTTAAATTAAATTTTCTCCCCTCAACAAGCATTCAGTAAGCAGTGAGGCCATTTGCTTGGTGATGCAAAGAATGAGGTCTGTGTGGTTGAAAGAGGCAGCGCTGGGCTGGGGCTGGGGCTCAGTGGTAGAGCG